TTCCCTTGGTATCTCTAATTTTCTTGAAGAGATCTCTTGTCTTTCCCATTCTATTGTTTTCCTCTGTTTCTTTGCATTGATCACAGAGGAAGGCTTTCCCATCTCTCTTTGCTATTCTTTGGAACTCTGCATTCAGATGGGAATATCTTTCCTTTTCTCCTTTGCTTTTCGCTTCTCTTCTTTTCACAGCTATTTGTAAGGCCTCCTCAGACACCATTTTGCTTTCTTATATTTTTTTCTTGGGGATGGTCTTTCTCCCTGTCTCCTGTACAATGTCACGAACCTCCGCCCATAGTTCATCAGGCACTCTGTCTATCAGATGTAGTTCCTTAAATCTATTTCTCACTTCCACTGTATAGTCATAAGGGATTTAAGTCATACCTGAATGGTCTACTGATTTTCCCTCTAATACATAACTAATACTAAAGAACACTGCTCTGCAGACCAATCATTCAACTTTGAGATGGCTATTTAGGCTATCTTACCATCTGAAGAAAGCTGAGCGCTGAAAAATTGATGCTTTTGAACTGTGGTGTTGGAGAAGACTCTTGAGAGTCCCTTGGACTGCAAGGAGATCCAACCAGTCCATCCTAAAGGAGATCAGTCCTGGGTGTTCACTGATGTTGAAGCTGAAACTCCAATACTTTGGGCACCTGATGCAAAGAGCTGACTCATTGGAAAAGACCCTGATACTGGGAAACGATTGGGGGCAGGAGGAGAAAGGGATGACAGAGGATGAGATGGTTGGATGGCATCACCGACTCAATGGACATAGGTTTGGGTGAACTCCAGGAGTTGGTGATGGACAGGGAGGCCTGGTGTGCTGCGGTCCACAGGGGTGCAAAGAGTCGGACATGACTGAGTGACTGAACTGAACTGAATTTATGACAAAGGAGGCAAGAACATATAATGGAGAAAAGACAGTCTGTTCAGTCAGTGATAGTGGGAAAACTGGACAGCCCCATGCAAAAGAAAAAGATTAGAACACTTCCTAAAATCAAACAGAAAAATAAACTCAAAATCGATCAAAAACATATATTTAAGGCTGGACACTATAAAACTCTTAAAAGAAAATACAGGCAGATCACGATTTGACATAAATCACATTAAGATCTTTCTGACCCACCTCCTAGAAGACAGAAAATAAACAAAAATAAGCTAATAGGACCCAGTTATACTCAAAAGCTTTTGCACAGCAAACAAATTCATAAATAAGACAAAAAGACGATCCTTATAATGGGAGAAAATATTTGCAAATGAAGCAACTGACAAGGCATTAATCTCTAAAATACACAAACAGCTCATGCAGCTCAATATAAAAAAAAATCTGCAAACAATAAACGCTGGAGAGGGTGTGGAGAAAAGGGAACCCTTTTACACTGTTGTGGAGAATGTAAATTGATGCAGCCGCTATGGAGAACAGTATGGAGGTTCCTCGAAAAACTAAAAATAGAACTACCACGTGATGCAGTAACCGCACTCCTAGGCATATATCCCAACAAAACCATAATTCCAAAAGACGTATGCACCTCCATGCTCACTGCACCACTATCTACAAGAGCCAGGACGTGGAAGCAACCTAGATGTCCGTCAGCAGAGGGATGGATAAAGAAGATGAGGTACACAGAGACGATGGAATACTACTCAGCCATGAAAAGGGATGAAACAGTGCCACTGGCAGGACACGGATGGACCTAGAGACTGTCCCATAGAGTGAAATACCTCAAGAAGAGAAAAACACATATAAGATCCCTTACACGTGGAATCTAGTAAAATGGTACCGAAGAACTTATGTGGCAAAGCAGAAGTAGAGAGACAGACTTAGAAAACAATAATGTATGCACGCCAAGAGGAGAGGCAGCAATGTGGGATGACCTGAGAGACTGGGATTGACAGATCTACATGCCTGATACTGTCTCTAACATAGATAAGTAATGAGTGACTACTGGTGCAGCATAGGGAACTCGACTCAGCCTTCTGTGGTGACCTATGTGGGAAGGAAATTCAAAAAAGAGGGAATATCTGTAAACACACAGCTGATTCCCTTTGCTGGATGGCAGAACTGACACAGGGCTTCCCTGATGTGGCTCAGAGGTTAAAGCGTCTGCCTCCAATGCGGGAGACCCGGGTTCGATCCCTGGGTTGGGAAGATCCCCTGGAGAAGGAGATGGTAACCCACTCCAGTATTCTTGCCTGGAGAATCCCATGGATGGAGGAGCCTGGTGGGCTACAGTCCACGGGGTCGCAAAGAGTCGGACACGACCGAGCAACTTCATTTTGACTTTCTTCCCCTGATGGCCCAGGGGTAAAGAATCCTCCTGCCAGTGCAAGAGATGCAAGAGACACGGGTTCGATCCCTGGGTGGGGGAAGATCCCCTGCAGAAGGAAATGGCCACCCACTCCAGTATTCTTGGCTGGAAACCCACTCCAGTATTCTGGGCTGGAAAGTCCCACGAACAGAGGATCCTGGCGGGTCACAAAGAGTCGGACACGACTGAGCACACACATGTATGCGTAGAGCTAACACGACACTGCAAAGCAGCTATACTTCCATAAATTTTTAAATAGTCTTTTGCTTCGTTGCATATTAAAAATAAGGGTCAAGTTTTTTTTTTTTTTTTTTTTCCAGATGAAAAAAGGAGGGCCCTACTCAATCATTCTCAATCACAAAATCTCAACACTAGGGTCCCATGGCCCCTGCACTGGACTTTCTTTCTTCTGTGAAACAGAAACAAACCTATGAGACAAGAGTCACAGGAACAGAGTTGGAGCCCCCAGAATAATAACAATAATAATGGATCTTCCAAGAGGAAATGGATAACCACAGGAACCATGGATCCTGTGTCAGCTATAAAACTCTTACCTGCCCTTTGTACTCCACTGGTTTCAGTCCTGCATAGATGGGCACGAAGCTGCTGGCTAACAGGACCTGGTGGACAAAATCAAGAAACAGCTCGTGAAATGAGACAGCAACAAGCCCTACCATCTATTTCACACATCACCTACTAGCAGCTTACAATCATTTAAACACAAAAGTCTACTATAAAAATGAAATACAGTCCATGTGTTTCATGGGCACAGTGAAAGCAAAAGCGTTAGTAGCTCAGACATGCCCAACTCTTTGCAACCTCGTGGACTGGGGTCTTCCCAGGCTCCTCTGTCCAAGGGATTTTCCAGGCAAGAATACTGGAGTGGGTTGCCATTCCCTTCTCCAGGGGGATCTTCCCGCTCCAGGGATTGAACCTGGGTCTCCCGTGTTGCAGGCAGAATTCTTTACCAAGAGAGCCACCAGGATGTACTTAAAACAGAAGAAAAGATTTTTCATTTCAGAAAAGACATTAAAGACATCGGCACAATTCATGTTCCTCTGACTCTATCGACTTCACCCGAGAAACACTGACACTTTAATGGCAGACGGCTGAGTCACTGAATAATTAAAGTCCAGTTCAGTTCAGTTGCTCGCTCAGTCCTGTCCGACTCTTTGTGATCCCATGGACGACAGCACACCAGGCCTCCCTGACCACCACCAACTCCCAGAGTTTACTCAAACTCATGTCCATGGAGTCGGTGATGCCATCCAGCCATCTCATCCTCTGTCGTCCCCTTCTCCTCCCAACTTCAATCTTTCCCAGCATCAGAGTCTTTTCAATGAGTCATCTGTTCGCATCAGCTGGCCTGTCAGGGAGTGTTTGACGGGAGGATTCCTGCGTGCTGTCTCTCATGAGTCCTCTGTCCCTCTTCAAGCGGAACAGCACGCTGCTCCCAGGGACTGAGGTCATTGTGTGAGGCAGGCTTGGGTCTCCTTTAGCAAACATTCTCTTTAGGGCAAAACTGCTTAGTCTCCTTCCCCTTTCTTGAGATATGGATTGTCTCCCGACCTTGTGACTAACATCACCCCTTGTTCCCTTGGTAACGGTTGCTGTACATTTGGTTTTCTGATCTCTATCATTCCCGAAAGAAGTTTCTTGTACCACAGCCTATATATACTCATAGGAAAATCATTAAAGCACCTTTGCTCCATCAGAGCTTAGGTTCCTGGGTCTTTTTTTGTCTCTCTCTCTCTCTTTCTCTCTTTTACTTTCTTATTGTCGACTCCGTACCACCAGGTTCTGGTTCATTAAAGGACCCCAACAGTGGCCGAAGTATTGGAGTTTCAGCTTCAGCATCAGTCCTTCCAACAAACATTCAGGATTGATTTCCTTTAGGATGGACTGGTTGGATCTCCTTGCAGTCCACGGGACTCTCAAGAGCCTTCTCCAGCACCACAGTTCAAAAGCATCCATTCTTTGGTGTTCAGGTTTGTTTATAGTCCAACTCTCACATCCGTACGTGACTACTGGAAAAACCATAGCCTTGACTAGACGGATTAAAGTCCAGGTGTGTCTAAATTCCCGTGTGCGTACAGGCTGCAAGTCAGTTATTGTCGATGTTCCATCCCACATTGTGAGAATCATTTGGACGTTTCAATCTTCCAGAGGAACAAACCCCTATGGTTGTCATGGCAGTGACTAGCTCGCAGCTGAGGGATGTTTGCATTTATGTCACCAGGCCGTCACCGAGAGAAGAAAACATGTTACATGCCAGGGACATGCCCTGGATATGTAATGAGACAGCGGCTACTAGGAGCACCAAGCATACTTTACCTTCCATTTAAAAACTCGAAAGAGACTGCCGTCGCAAATATTACCGTCTCCTCCCACAGAAAAAGCCGGGTTCTGGGGAGCTTTCCTGACATGCACAAGTCAGTTGTGCAATGCAGTTTGCAAGTCGCTGTGTTCTATCAGGAAAGATACAGCATGAGATACTGACTACTTAAGGTCCAATCCTTCAGTTGATAAGTCAAGACTCCATGGCTCTTTGCTGTGAAAGATTTCATCAAGCTTCTTTCTCCAGCAGGAGTTATTCAGAGATGGATTATGGCCTTTAAAATGACTGTGCAATATCCATTAGGGCTTCCCGGGTGGCACTAGTGGTAAAGAACCTGCTTACCAAGGCAGAAGACATACAAGATGTGGGTTCAATCCCTGGGTCGGGAAGATCCCCTGGCGGAGGAAATGGCAACCCGCTCCAGTATTCCTGCCTGGAGAATCCCAGGGACGGAGGAGCCTGGCGGGCTACAGTCTATGAGGTCGCAAAGAGTTGGACACAACTCAGCGACCGAGCAGATACGGTATGCATTAAGAGTTACTCAGAAATCAGAAGGGCATTTCCCCCAAAGGAAGAATGCTGTACCTGTGATTTGTGCGGCCAGCTCAAACAAGCTGATTCATTCTGAAGGGCAAATGATGAGAGGCCCAGTCACCAGCCTAACGACCGAGTGGGAAGAGCCGACTCATCGGAAAAGACCCCGATGCTGGGGAAAGACTGAGGGCGGGAGGGGACGGGGATGACAGAGGGCGGAATGGTTGGATGGCATCACCGACGCAAGCACTGACACACATACACGACCCTGTCTAAAACAGAGAGCTAGTGGGAAGCTGCTGCATTAGCACAGGGAGGTCAGCTCGGCGCTCTTGTGATGACCTAGAGCGGTGGGATAGGGCGGGGGGAGGTTCAAGAGGGATGCCATGTGAGGGGAGGGATGGATGTATACATATGGCTGATGCATTTCATTGTAGAGCAGAGACCAACACAACACTGTAAAACAGCTACACTCCAATGTAAAAACAAAGCCCTGTGATAAAGCACAACAGAAAATATTAAAAACAATGTGCGTATATATGTGTGTATGTATATAACTGAATCACTGCCGTACAACAGAAAATAATAACAACTGTAAATCAGCTATACTTCAATAAAAATAAATAAGAAAAAAAGAAGAAATTGGGATGGGAGGTGGGAGGGAAGTTTAAGAGGGAGGCGATGTGTGTGTACCTAAGGCTGATGCATGTTGATTGGACGGCAGAGACCAACACACTATCATAAAGCAATGATCCTCCCATGAAACATAGAGAAATAAATAAAAGAAGAACCTTGAGGTGTCGAGAGCAAAGCACGGACCCGAGATATGACAACAACCCTGCAGGAGAGGTCGCAGCCTTCTAAGGAGGGTCGGTACTCACAAGCCCTCACTGAGCATTCATCTCCAAAATCTCAGCTTCAGTGTGGATGTGACAGGATAGGGTGCCATGCCTGCCACTACCCGCACCCTTCCCAGAGAGGTGCGAGCCGGGGTGGGCATCCTCTCTGGTGGTCTGCAGATGATAACAGCCATCAGCGGGGTTGATAGGATGGAAACCAAGCAAACTCAGGCCCAGCCTGGTCAGCCCCCGGGTCTCCCTGACCTGGGCAGCTGGGGTCTTTCAGAACAAAACTGGACACAGTTATGGTCACGGCCTTCACCCTAATTAATCAGTTACCCACTCCTTTTAAAAAACGTAATTACAGGGGCTTCCCTGGTGGTTCAGTAGTAAAGAACGTGCCTGCCAATGCAGGAGACATGGGTTTGATCCCTGGGTCGGGAAGATACCCTGGAGGAGGAAATGGCAACCCACTCCAGTATTCTTGCCTGGAGAATCCACATGGACAGAGGAGCCTGGTGGGCTACAGTCTGTGGGGTCGCAGAGAGTTGGACGCAACTGAGTGACTTAACACTTTCTAGCCGGTCCTCTGGGACCACCCAGCGGGATAGGGTAGGGAGGGAAATGGGAGGGGAATTCAGGACGTGGTGGTGGTGGGGGAACACATGTATGCTTTTGGCTGATTCACGCTGATGTAGGCAAAAACCATCACAAGACTGTAATTATCCTCCATAGGCTCTCAAAGAGTCAGAAAAGACTGAGCAACTTCACTTTCAATTATCCTCCAATTAAAATTAATTAAAAAAAAAGAAAGCTGTGAAAAAAAAAAGTACAAAGGATGCAGCGCTGGGGGGAAGAAATGATTACAGGACTTCCCTGGTGGTCCAGTGGTTAAGAATCCACCTGCCAATGCAGGTGACTCATTTCCTACTGTCCATGGGGCCGTAAGAGTCAGACACGACTTACGTGCCTAAACCACAGCCACAGGGGCCTTTAAATAACCAAAGATACTCTAGGACTCTAGTCATTTATCTCACTGTGTGTGCGGGCTCAATTGCTCTATCATGTCCGACTCTTTCCGACGCCATGGACTGTAGCCCACCAGGCTCCTCTGTCCGTGAGAATCTCCAGGCAAGAACTCTGGAGTGGGTGGCTATTTCCTCCTCCAGGGGATCTTCCTGACCCAGGGATCGAACCTGCGTCTCCTGCCTTGGCAGACGGAAACTTTACCACTGTTCTGCCTGGGAAGCAAGCCCCTAACTTTGCTATAACAGCTCATTTCACTATGCTATGCAGACATGTAGCTTGCAAAAACAAAGAAAATTTAAAAAAACAGCATTACCTTTAGAAGCTGAATTATGTGGGCTTCCCCCATCCCTCATGTCAAGATATAAAGTGAAGTGCACAAGTTAATGCCCGGATCTCTTTTTGAGGTATTGAGAGATGAAAAGTGCTATGCAATTACTTTGTCACAGATAGGAACAGTTAAGAATCCTCTGAACTGGTTTGAAGAGTGCAGTGAACTGGAAAATACCCATCATTTTCCCCCCAAATCAATGTATTTGTTCTGTCACAGTTTATTCAGGCTGCTCATTTGTGTATCAAACTGTGGTTGGTAGGAAAATTGGCTTTCGACAGACAGGAACTAAGCGGCTTCTCTTACTGACACTTTACTGCAAGCAAATAGGATTTTCTAAGGAGGGAGATGGTTAATGAGATATGAAACACTAAGGCTAAATATGCTCTTTTGCTGGTCTTAACCTCACCGGCGTCCCAGGGAAATTTTTCTTAATAAATGTCGATGCGTCTAGGGCCGGGGGTGGGGGTGGGGGTCTCAAGTAGGGGTGTCTGCGCCCTCTGGGGATATTTAGCCATGTCTTGGGGCTGCTTTTTGGTTGAGAGGACGGAT